AAGACTGGTTCATTCCTACATTCCAGTTCCTTATCACTAAATTAAATCGTCCTTCCTGCAATCCAGTCCCATTGCCCCTAATTAACTTTTTAGCATCTTTTACAATCAGAAGTCCATATATTTAATAACAAAAAGTATGATCTGGCCATATTCAGTTTTTCAGAAAACATATGAAAAACCTTACTAATAAGAGTTTTTCAGCTATGAAATCATTTACTCCAGATAATAATCCTTTATAGCTCCCTTACAGGATAGAAAAACAGGAGCTAGATTAAAAACTTGCTTGAAATGACACTTCTACCATTTACTTGCTGGTAGAGGCAGGAATCACATCAAGAATGTGTTTCTTGTTTATCATCTGTCCTCCCATTGGCTGTAATGATCACTGGCAGGAAGGACCTCTGCTGCAGCCTAGCACCTAACAAGGTTTGGCACATAGTGTGCCAAATAACAATAAATAGCTTCTGGGTTGATAAATTAATAAGCTAGCAAAAGCACCCACCTTTCCATTTTGGGGGGAATGTATTAAGATGTTATGCAAACCTCTACTGAAACCACATCGAGTGGGTCACATGATCTCATCTACAGACACAAAGTATAGTTTGAAGCATCAAAAATTCTCCTAACTTGGGCATGCTGAGATGTTGAAACAGAAATATTCTCCAGCTCAGCCTAGGTAGCTCTACCAGCTGGAGTGTTCTATCACAGGCAGCCTAAGCATCTGTCTTGGAACAAGATTTAGTTGTGCTATTATTATTTTTTTTTCTTAGTGGCAGCAGTCCCTTCTTGACTGGGAGGGACCTGGAACATGTACAATTTTTTTTAAATGTCAAGATGGCTAAAGGGGGCTGGGACGGGTTCTGAAGGGACTGCATCAGAGCGATTACCAGGAAGGGTCTTACTTAGAAAGATTAAGGTCCTGAGTCCTTCTGCTTATTTGGCAGAGGTGGGATCTACGATACCTCTGAACTTTAAAATAGAAAATGGAGAGTACCAAATATTTAAAACATTTTTAGTAACAAGAAAATTTAAGTTTTTGACTTGACCAGAGCGTATTATGTCCTGAGATCAATGTATGCCTTTGAAGGATTCGTCACATTCATGCTGTCTTTGCTCAAACCTGAGTGCTCCCGGCGCGTTCATAGTGCAAGCTCCTCGGAACCAGCACCTGAAGCTCCTCTTCATTTCTTTCGGGAATCTCCGCGGTGCCAGGATGAGCATTTCAGTCCGCTGTGTAGCTCCAGATTTCCCTCCAAAGCCCTGAAGCGAAAGACACAGGGCCAGGGCCGCTCTTTCCCTGCGCCACCAATCAATCGCATTCTGCAAGCCAGGGGTGGGCGCCTTCCTCTCACCACGCAGCCATCTCTTAGTCTCATGGACCTTGGAGCGGTCATTTCTACCCACTCAGAGGAGCCCAAGGTGGCTGGAAGGTGAAGTGGAGCTTTGAAGCCGGGCGAGTGGGTGCAGGTCTCCAAGCGCCCCCCGACCCACACTCTCATGCTTCTGAGTTGGGCTCCACCAGGCTGCGTCTGGAGACCACCGCAGCCGTGAGGTGACTGGCACAAAAGTTTACCTGGGTTCTGAGCAAGGGGACACTTCGAATTTCTTCCTTCTCGAGAGTTGTGGACATACGAAAATGGAATCGCACACAACCGACGCTCTAGAGGAGCTTGAAGTCTGGCGGCCCTTCAGGGGCTGCCACAGGGGTCCAGAAGAGCCTGGGGAAGGCGGCTTGAACAGAAGTATGCGTGAGAGAGCAGGGCTGTAGGGGCTAGGACAGTTCCGGAATCAAAAGACTCCTCAAAGGCAATGAAATCCTTGAGGATAATGACCCTCGGAAAGGCAGGACCTAGAAGAGGAAACAAGGCGCATCCCCAACCCCGAGCGCTGTAAAGGTCAAGGGGAACCGGAAGAGACTCCGATGGGGTCCTGACACCCTAGGCTCGTTCATTCACTTCTACTAAAACTGACATGGTTCCCTGAAAGAACGCTGCTGAGTGGTTCCAACACCTGGCTGAGGCAGCGCACGGCGAGCCTGCTGTGAATGCGCAGAGTGAAGGAGCGCGGACTGAGTGTGCGCTGATTCTCAAGTAAACGGGGGAAAGAGACCTCATCCCAGGGACACCTCTAGCTCTGGAGAGCAGAGTTGCAGCTTGAGGGCCAGACTTAAGTCTGCGGCCAAAGCAAGAGGAGATGGTAGCATTTCCAGGACCTCTGTCCTACCTGTTTTGACTGTGGCCGAAACTATTGCTTCTACCCCAGGGGTGACTTCTTCCTGGGTGTGCTGCCGGGTGGTCTAGGTCTGGCAAAGTTTGGAGGGTGAAAGCAGAGAAGAAAAGGCACGGGTTAGAGGCTACACCAGGCTAGACCCGAGAATCAGGAGAAATACTTCGCCCCGTGATTACTGCTAGGGAATCTTGAATAAACCCGCGGCTACCCAAGATTGTGAAAGTGGTGTGTAGGGCTGCCTGGTTCTCCCAGGAGGCAAGTGGTTTCAAGGCTTGGAACCTAAAGCCCCCAGCTTAATAGCAGAGTTCAATTCTCTTCAATGCTTGTACCTGTCTGGTCCAGTGCAGCCTCACCAAGCAGTCTGGGCCCTGAAACCCCCGGAGGTCAAGTAGCTCTCTGCACACAAATTGCTACACCTCCTCTACCCAGCCCCAGTTATTAATCCTTCTCAGGTGGTGGGTAGTTTAGATTGTGGATAGCACTGAGACTGAAACCTAGGACTCAGCTCCAGAGGTTTGGCGAGGATTGAGGGCTGCAGAAGAGGAGGAAATAGAAATTGAAGGCGGGCATATGTCCACCCAAAACTACCTTGAATGAGGTGGCCTGATGACTCAAAACCTGTGTCAGATCCCTCCTTCAGCAATTCCCAAGAAATCAGTTTGCATGAACCCTAAATGTGGGTTTGGGGATCCCCAGAAGGGCTCTAGAGTAAGAGGTTAGCTGGTCCTCCCTGGATGCTGGACTTCTCTGCAGATAGGGCTATTTTTTTTTTTCTTTCCCAAAGTTTTTTGAATTACCAGGTATAGTTAGAATTATGTAACTGGTGAACCTTTCATCATCCCTCACAAACCCTGAGTACTGATAAAAACTGAAGGAGTTGCCTCAGATGCTTGGAAATTCTCCTCCAGCTGGGCTGAAAGGCGTGACTAGCTTCCTGGGACCCCAAGCCAAATGAAATTCTCTGAAGAAAGGAACAAGGGTAGAAAAGGACAAATGGGACAGTGGGACTGGGGCGGGGTGCAGGATGGAGTGAGGGCTGCAAAGCCAGTGCATCTATGGTCCATCCCCACCTGAACTTGCACCTGCACAGAAGTGGTGCCCTTGGCCCCGGTGTATGCTAAAGCAAGCCAGGTCTCCGCAGCCTAAATGAGTCAAAAGCCTAAATGAGTTCTCCCGTGCAGTTTAGCTTCATGGCAGGTTTCAATGGCTGCAATAGTCTGGCTAAGGGTTCCACCATTGACTGAGTGGCACCATAGAATCATCAGACAGCCTCACGTTGTGTGTGTGTGGGGGGGGGTGTTAAAAGTTTTTGCATCCTACATAGTGGATGTCACCACTTCCCACAAGTCATTTTTAGCATTTCACTTATCTTTTCTCGGTCTCAGTTTCCCAATTTACAAAATGGAATAGTCTCAACCCCACGAAGAGTGGGTTAATAGAAACTCCATGCATCTTTTTAATTGTCCAGAGAAGCAAAACATTTTCCTTAAACTTGGTACTGTACATAATTAAAGACTCTTCCTGCCTCCTGACTCCTGCCTACCTCCCCCACTCCAGTCCACCCCCACTCTTTGCTCCACAGAGCCTAGAAGCTGTGCTTTTTCTAGTCTGTCCTCCCCTGAGAGGCTGGTGCAAAAGCCAATAAGCCTGGAACACACGCAGGTCCTTCCGGGCGTGGGACAATGGTTTCCATTTAATAAATATTTCCCCCAAGGACATTTCACACCGGGCAGGCAATTATTCAAAGGAAACAGGCTGGAAGGTTGGCTCTGCGGGTTATTTCGTCCTCTCTTTCCAAAGAACGCTAGTCTGACTCAAAAAACGAGTCTGTTGCAGCCTGGCTGGGTGGGAAGAGACGCTCAGGGAAAAATCTACCCTGGATATAAAGACAGCGTGAAACCCGCTGTAGGACTTCTGCAGAAGGGGTACCGGAAGACCGCCACTCCCAGCCTTCAGCCCGCACCCCTCCATCTGTGGAGTCAACTTGGGAACACACTAGTAATAAAATCAGAATCATGATGGAGCGGCACACACACAAGCGCGCACACACACACACACACTCCACTGAGAGTGAAGACTGGGTTTTGGTGCTCAACAGTTCCGGCCGGGATTCGAAACCTCTGCGCTGCCGATTTTAAGGTGTCCCGACTTTGGCGCCTGGCCCACGGCTTGGGCACCCGGCGGCCCAGCGGCAGCTTGCGCACCGCATCCCTGGCAGGGGTGGAGACCGAGTAGCAGGCGGTCTTCGCCAAAGGACCGTAGAGGGTCTGGCACGAAAAGTTTATTTCGCTTTTACCCTGAGTTTGATATATTCCTTTCCACTTCCAAGGCTCTCTTACAAGGGGTGGAGGACTGCTGTCCTTGCATTTCATGGAGAGGCTGTCCTATTTATCAACATGAGCTCTCCCCTCGCTGCCCCGCTCACCGGGTCTTTGTATTCAACGTCCTAATTCTCTCTCGCAAGACCCAGAAAGGTTCGAAGAGTTTTTAATTTCTGACACCGTCGGAGACGATGTGGGGCCCGCGCCCCGAGTCCTGAGCCAGGTCGGTCTCTGCGCCGGCCTCCGCCTCACACCTCTCCCCGCCCCCATCAGCTCCTTCCCTCAGTTACTCGCGCGGTGGCAGGTGCGCCCCTCGCCGGCTCCGCTGCTGATTGGCGCCCAGGTTGGGAGTCGCCGCCCCGCGCTTATGTCAGAGTGCGTGCGGTCCCGGCCCACCTCGCCTTTGAACTTCGCCGCTTTTGGCTCCAGTTCACCAGCCTCCCTGCATTCTCAGCCAGGTGCAGGGCTAAACCAGGCAGCTCCGGCAAAGCCACGGGAGGGGGAGCCAAGGCGACTTACGCCAGCAGAGAGAAGGGAACGGGAGAAGGCGAAGGTGCAGAGTGAGAGAAGGAGGAGCATCTTGCCCTCGTCAGAAAATTACCTGGCCACTTAATCCCGGAGACTCCGGTACTTGGGCCCCAGTCTCCGGAGCCCAGTGCCCCTGCAGTACGCCCTCTTATCCCAAGCCCTTCCCGCCCCCGCTTGCCCCCCGGGGGCTGCCTGGGTGCTAGGACTGGCATGATCAGCTGAACTTTTCAGGGTCAGCTGTCCTTTCTGGCTTCCCCTCAGCGGCACCGAGGCGAGGGGAGCGCAGAGCTCGGGCTGCGGACCGACAGACAGACCGCCAGCCGCGCTCAGACTCTCCCCACTGCGCCCTTGCACTCCCCACCCCGCCCGACTAGCCACCGGGACCATGTCCAAACCCTCAGACCACATCAAGAGGCCCATGAATGCCTTCATGGTATGGTCCCGGGGCCAGCGGCGCAAGATGGCCCAGGAAAACCCCAAGATGCACAACTCAGAGATCAGCAAACGACTAGGCGCCGAATGGAAGCTTCTGTCTGAGGCAGAGAAGCGGCCCTACATTGACGAAGCCAAAAGGCTGCGTGCCCAACACATGAAGGAACACCCCGACTACAAGTACCGGCCACGGCGCAAGCCCAAGAACCTACTCAAGAAGGACAGGTATGTCTTCCCCCTGCCCTACCTGGGTGACACGGACCCGCTCAAGGCGGCCGGCCTGCCCGTGGGGGCTTCCGACGGCCTCCTGAGCGCGCCCGAGAAAGCCCGGGCCTTCTTGCCGCCGGCCTCGGCGCCCTACTCCCTGCTGGACCCCGCGCAGTTTAGCTCGAGTGCCATCCAGAAGATGGGTGAAGTGCCCCACACCTTGGCCACCAGCGCGCTGCCCTACGCGTCTTCCCTGGGCTACCAGAACGGCGCCTTCGGCAGCCTGAGCTGCCCCAGCCAGCACACGCACACGCACCCGTCCCCAACCAACCCGGGCTACGTGGTGCCCTGTAACTGTACCGCCTGGTCTGCCTCCACTTTGCAGCCCCCCGTCGCCTACATCCTCTTCCCAGGCATGACCAAGACTGGCATAGACCCTTATTCTTCAGCCCATGCCACAGCCATGTAACCCCAGCCTGGCCCGGACCTGAAGGGTGTCCTGGAAGGGGGATCTGTACCCTGTCCTCTGCACCTACCCCTGGCCTGCAGATGCCTCTGGGTCAGCCCTGCAGCTGCCCCATATCCCACCCCAGACTCTGCCTCTCTTTTCCACAGGGAAGGGAGGGGCTCCTCCTGGACCCAAGGCGCAGACAGGTGCCAGAAACTTGAGCAAATGTTGTGACAGCTACATGGCTGCCCCTATCCCAACTTATCCAAAACAAATCTTTGACTTACCCCCTTTGGACAAAAAAAAAAAAAAAAAGAAAGAAAGAAAGAAAAAAGAAAAAAAAGGAGGCAGTTTTGTTTTATTTATGTCCCCTTCACTCTTCTGGGAGAGGCTGTGGACTTGAAACTCCAGACCCTGACATTATATCTAGAATATGCATATTTTTTTTTCATTTGCTCCCCTGGAGAAAAGAAATAGCTATGTCTCTGTGTGTTGCCATCAGACACAACTAGGCAGCATTTGCTCTTTCATGTATGTATGTGGGGAAAGGTTTAAAAGTTTAAAATTACAAAAAAAGAAACATTTCTATTTAAAACCATGCTATGATAGTGTTTGCTTCTTTAAAAGAAAAACAAAAAGGACCCACATGGCTATTTACTTTGTGTAAAGCAGTTCTCCTAGAGACCTAAGTTTACTTTTAGACAGAATGTCGGATTATGAAGTCAGGAAGTAGAAAGTGAACAAAAAATGAAAACATCCTAAATGGTCATAAGTGTTTTGACGATGTTTTGGAAATGTACCTAGAAGGATTTTACCTCGTCACTCCTGTTCATTTGTTGAACAAAGACATTTTGAATAAAGACAATCTGTCATTGCAAAAAGTAACCTTTGGTGTGATAAAATCAAGTCAGGAGGCCGCAGGTCTACGGGGGCGGGCGAAGAGTCAGGTCCACCCCCCGGGAGGCTGAGAGTGCTTTGAGTGGTTCTAGCAGAGAAGGCTGGGACCAAACTTGGTGGCCTTGGGAGTTGGGTGTGAAGGGCCTAGAGTCTAGACTCTTTCTGGACTGCACCCTGAGTATTACCTTTTGCTTTAGAAGCTAAACAAAGGTATTACTCCCTGGGAAGTCACTTCTTCCTCCCGTCTTCACAAAGGGGTCAGACCACTTCAAGAAGTGAATAAACTAAGACAATAGCAGACCCAAGCCTGAGTTCTGGGTGTATTTGCTTTTTTAAAAACACCAAACTCCAAAGCCTTGGGGAGAAGTGCCACTCTCCTGGGAGCCAGATGTCTGCAGGTGTTGCCTGCTGTAGGTATTTAAATTCAGAGCAAGAGGTGAGGTGGGTGACATCGATTTTTAATACTCATTTTTTAATTATTTGGGAAGACTGCTATTGTCTCTTCTGGGGACCTGGGTCTTCATACTGTTCCCTAAATTTAAACATTAAAACTTAAATGTAGAAAAACGTGATGGAGGTCCAAGTCCCAACTGTCAGAGGATTTTTACAAAGACCCTGAGGGAGAAAAGAGAGAAAGAAAGTGATATTGTTACAGCTCATGCAATGAGGTTTCTTTTTAAATCACAAAAGTTAAATAACTCAGAGGCTTTGCTATTTAACAAATAAGAAAATGAACCCTTCTCCTCCCCTTCTTGGTATATATTTTCTTGAAGATTACTGTTTTTCCTTAAGGAGAAAAGGAACTCTAGTATCATCCAACATAACTCCTTGGAATTTGCTCTCAGAATTGAAGGGTGCTGCTCCTCACCTCCAGTTTCCCCCAGTCTTCTCCCCACACTCATGCCTGTTTTCTGTAGGTTGCATGCTCTTCCCACTGGCTTTGGATGGGGGAGCAGTCTAGGGGTTCATCCAGTTTCTGCTGCCTTTGAGGGGTTTGTGCACTTGCCCCAACCTTTCCAAAGGAGTCAGTGGCTTGAGGTGCAGGGAACTGCTGTCAACAGACACCAAAGCCAAAACCCGAGGATTAGCATATTGTCCACAAAACAATTAGAAGTGTTTGAGGTGCTATTTGGAGCCTATTCATCCGAGCCCCTTTGTCAAAAGGGGGATTTTCATTATTAAAAAAAAAAAAAAAGTTAGCAGTTGTCCATCTGGCTGAGCTGAATAGCAAAGTGATCCGTGTTGTATATGCTTTTCTCATTAAGAGTTCTTTTGAGACCAATGTTAGAATTAAATGGTATAACACAATTAACATACACGGGCACTGAATAGGAGGGGACGCCTATAAATAATAGATAGATAAATAAACCAGAGATCAGGCAAGGTAAACAAAGGCGGGCTGGGGGAGGTGTGAGGGAGGCCGGGCAAGCTGAGCCACGCTTATTTAGCATCACAAAACCCTCTTACAAATCGAGACAATTAGGTAGTGACTTGCCTCTGGTGGCCGTCGGGTCTGGGGACTCCCGGTGCGTAGGGAAGGCTACTCCTCCCGCCCCCTAGCAAGCCCAGGAAGCCTGGGACAGAGTCGCCGCGGTTTTGCTGTCTGGTATAACCTCAACTGACAGTCCTGTCAGCCTCTCTGCTCTCCCTCATAGCTCAGTGTCCTTTAACATCTCCTTAGATGAAGCTTACGGGGTCTCGGTGTCTCCCCCGCACAGCCCAGCGCTGGAGCTGCCTGGGTTTACAGAGCACCCAAGCCGAGGAGGAACCTGCGCACACAGCCCCAGTAGGGTGCTCCGTCGTCTTTGAAGTGAGCTTGGCTGGAAAGAGGCACCAGGAGGGTTTGAGTGGGGAAGATCTCGTGGACTGGCAGCAGAAACTGAAAAACTGAGATAAGGGTCCTGGGAACTCCCAGAACTCTAGGAAACTGGGGTGCGCCGACGCCGAGAAGCGAGAGGGCCCACGCGCCTTTCCAGAGAGGGGGTTATACCGAGTGGGTCAGGGAACTTGAAGCCGCGGATCTGGCCCAGGCCGTTTCTTCCCGGTGTACTTTCATTCCTTCCTTCGTAAACTGTCTGCCCTGCCTAGACCTAGCCAGCCTCACCCCCCGAAGGGCCCGCCAGAGCTGCGCCTCCCTCGCCCTGCGGGCCGCCGAGCGTCCGCTGGGGTGCGCGGCCAAGACTCGCCCTAACAAACAGCCCAAATCCTCCCTGTCACGCCGTTGACAGGGGCCGATTACTGACTTTGAAGTCAGGCGCAGACAAAAAGCAATCCCCTGGGGGGTGTGGAGGAAAGCCGTCCCTGTCAAACCTGTTTGCTCACAACTGTCTCTTTCTTTCAAGAAAATCATTAAAGCAAACCTATAGGGAGAGGAGCGCCCCACCTGCCCAGAGTCTCGAAGAGCCCGCTTCTCCTGAGCGTGCCAAGCTCAGCCCTGAGCAGCCAGGAGTTCCGCTCTTCAGACGCTTGGCCTCGGGAGAACCAGAACCTGCCCGCGCGCGGCGCACCCGCGAGCCTGCGCGGAGCATCTGCCAATCTCCCTGCGCTGGGCACGCTTCCGGCAGCCAGGGGTTCTCTGGAGCAGACAAGACTAGGGAGGGTTCACCACCTCCCGTGCAAGTTCCACAGTTACCAGGTTCGGCACCCTCCAAAACTGACACCATAAACCCCGGGAAACCCCTGCTCCTCCCCTGGGTTGTTCCCATGGCTTCGGGGTGGAAGAGCACGCCCTGCGGGAGGCGGCTGGCAGCTGGCAGAGGCAGGGTAGAGTTTTTTTGACTTTTAGCTAAGTTTCCTTTCTTAAATCTTGGTTGCCCTCTGCCCCAGGCGTGCACTTGTCCAGCTTCTGAGAGATTCAGAACCATTGGCCACCTTCAGTTCCTGGTCTCCTTGAAAGAGCTTCCTCAGTCTTTTATGCATGTCTAGCTTTGGATCCTCTAAAAAACCTTTGATTCCTTTTCAGTTTTGCAAGTTTTCTTTTTAAATATAAATTTCCTTAGAACCACTAACTTTAAAGATGGACAAGGCTGGCAACCTTGAGTAAATCCCACTGAGGTATGAGTGACTGACATTTAAGACCCTCCCTTTAACATTTGCATTTTAAAACAGGCGCTAGATAACCTCCAGAAATCTCCAATGACCTAAAGCTTGGGGATAAAGAATGACAGTTAGGGCTGAACCTAGGGATTTAGACTCCATCGCAGTGGCTCTGGAGAAGCTGGAGACAACCAGAACCCCGAAAACTTGGCAAGCAGTGGAGCCAGGATTGCCCTTGAGAATTCTCCTTTCCTTGGGCTCCTCCCCAGATCAGACCTTGTCACCATTGTTCAAGTGGACAATGAATTTCAAGACATTTGGATTTGCATATCATGTATTTCACAAGATGCATGCTAAGAACGCTCATCTCTTTATTTGCTAAGTGGCGTACAGTGAGAGGCTGAGCAGCCCAGTTGGATTTGGGCACAGGAGACAGCAGGGCTAATGTTCCCACCTCTTCCCATAGGTGTTCTCTTGGCTCCTGGCTGTGTCCTGGTTTCTCAGACCCTCATGGACCCAGGATTGGGAGTGTCACTTGGGCTGGCTTCTTTCCTGGTACTGCTGCGAGGGGCCTTGGTCTGTAACCAAAAGCAGAGGCATTGGGCTGCTCTGAGGAATTAAAAAAGAATGAAGTTGGAGGCAGATGTGTGGGGGTGGGTTCTAGAAATCCTGGGACCTCAAGTCAGAACCTGAGGCTCTGTTACCCCACATAACCCAGGCTAAGGGCCTTAGAGGATCTGGAGCCTTGGGATATCTGCTCTGACCCTGGGAAAGGAGCCTGGAGTCAAGAAGAGAAGGCCTTTACTTCCCTCCTAGCCCAGCTCCTAGTCTTTATTGCTGCAGAGTGGGCATTCGTTCTGGGGCCGGGGAGATCAACTTATGCACTGGAACCGGGAAAGACCATGCAAGTATAAAGCGTCCCTGGGCCATCCTCCCAGGTTCTCCATCCTCTTTGCTCAGGTTCTTTACACTGGGCATCCTCCCTGGTGTACGTTAGGAAAAAAACAGGCACCCGGGGCCAAACAGAAGCTAAAAGAAGCCTGCAAGTTTTCCTTTTGCTACAAAGTGGAAGAGCTGCGTTACTCTAGCGGCCAACGGCCATCTCTAAACTTTTGCACTAGAGTCCGGAGGAAAAGCAGTTCGCAAGCGATCGCTGCGTCGCGGACAAGGATAGGAAGTAACTTTAGGAAAACTACCAGTCGGTCTGGAAGACTTGACTAGAAAGGCCACACCCCTAGGGCCGCACCAGGGAGAAGGAGTTCCCTCCACTTCCCGGGAGCTGAGCCCCAGCTGCTCCCTACTGGAGAGCTTTTACTGCGCTGTCCCGAGCCCACTCCGAGCCCGACCGCACTTCTGAGC